CCCCAAAACCCCAAAACCCCAAAACCCCTCAAGGCAGATATTTGTAAAATATTGATTTAAAATTAATTAATTTAGATAATCTGCTTTAATGAAAAATAATAATCAAGTTACGCTTATACTTTTTGGATTATTTTTGAAATATGCTAGTTGTTTTACCCCAGGTGACCTCACAACAGTAGGCTATATTTTAACAAGTTAATGTTTAACTGAATGTATGGACTATTTTTCATCTGGGGTGGCTTACTTTTGTAATAATGGAGGAAGTTAGTATTGCTGCTCTTATTCCATTAGTACAGCGTTTTGCTCTACAAGCACTCCTAATAATGAGTGCACTACCTAAATTACCACTGCTGATCTTCGATATTCACTATGTTCATCAAGGAATGACATTAGATGTGGAAGCAGTACCACTCTAAGTGCAGGAAATAAATTTCAAACAGTTGTTGGATATGACTTGCTTGCTTCTACTGATGATATTTGCTATTTTCACCTCAAAATTAATCTGTAAAACGCAGTTGTTTATGACTATGTGGAAATTTATGTATATTATTACTTAGGCACATCATTCAGCATTTACTCTGGGGTTGATGTCTAGACTGCAACCAATAAAACAGTTCCAAAATTTAATACAACTTATAAATTTTCAACAAGGATTAGTGGATAAATTCAACAAATATATATTGTAGCAAGGCCAGACATTGGAAGCAGTATCCCTGCTATTTATAGTTTTGCATATAGATTTTACACTCCAAACTACAATTAAGATTCCACACTTAAGATCGTCACTGGCTTCAATTACACGAACTCTGAGAAGTATCAAATCTCGCAAATGACTTTTATCATAATAGCTTGTTCATGTGCTGGTGGGATATTAATATTTTCTATTTTCTTCACTTATATTTGCACAAAGTTTCAGTACTATGTATCACCTCCTTCTGAGCATGTTAAATTTATGGAATAAAGGAGACAAGATGAACTGGAATTCAGAAAATCTGTACTTAGGGAGAAATCTAAAAGCTATTCTAAAAGTGAGTGGAATAAGTAAAAAGGAAACGAGTCTTTTGAAGATGACGAAATGCGAGCAACTACCGATTATAAGCCTAATAAAAATGGGAAAAACATAAGCATTAAAGATTCTAATAAAAGAGCCAAAAATTCTAGAAGGAATTGAGAGGATATATCCTACTCCTAATTTATTAATCATGCTTTACAAAGACTTTAGTTTAACTATATTGGTAAAATAGCTATATTTCATATTAAATTATTTAACAAAAATAATTCAGAGAATATTAATGCGGGGTTTTGGGGTTTTGGGGTTTTGGGGTTTTGGGG